CGTAATACTTAGAAATTTTACTACACATTCCAATGTACATATTATTGCATGGAAATTTACAGTGTAACTATGTTAAATGGAACTGAATAAATTAAAAAAAATAGTTCCAACAGAATCGTTATGACATAACGAAGACTTGTACTTGTATATTATATTAAACACTAGTACTAACAGGATGAATTTTTATGTTTTGTTATAATATTGTTGATATAATATTTGAGTAGAAAGGTACTTTAGGTTGAAAGTTTTAAGAAGATAAACATTCGTCCTTTGTAATACTTATAATAACATAACATCTAAATCCTACAATGACATGCTTTAAAATAAATGGTTACATTATATTAGAGATAAAGGGAAAAAATTTGCTTCGAGTATGATTTTATTATGACTGCGTACTTTTACCACAAAATTTTTTCGTATGCGGATTTCAAAATTTACCTAGTCACTCGTAAAAGTTATTGTAACGATATATATATATATATATATATATATATATATATATATATAGCGAGAGAGAGAGAGAGAGAGAGAGAGAGTGTGAGAGGGGGGGAGAAGGAGAGATGAAAAATTGGGAATAGACATAAAGTGAATTTGTGTGTAATCCACTCGTGGCAGCCACTTCTGTCATTTGTAAAAGAAAAATTTACTTACGAATGTATGTTTTAGCAGGGAGCTACGGCTACATTAAGGCGTTGGAAAATTTTATTTCCTCTATTATTCAAATATTACAATTTTTCCAGTCCTTCTTTTCTCTCCTTCTCCTTATTCATAATATTTTCAAAATCCGTTTTCTCTATTACAACAGAGCCATTGTTGCAACAAGACCATCTAATCTGTGAAAGGGTCGCAGCAACCACACTTGCCAAACCGCAAAACAGTTACAAGGCACGAATTTTTAAATTAACGGCCTGAATTCGTTACTTATACATTAAGAAGACGTTAATTAACATTTCTCCTGACATTTCCTTCTCTATTCGATTGTTATTTGTTGGAGCGATTCTCGTATTTGACAGTATTTGGCAAAAAAACGTTTTAGTGCATTGAAAGTCTCGGGCCATGAGCTAGAAACATCTATGCCATCCTAAGCCAGGACAGGTGTTGAATAAGAAAAATCCAAACAAACAGTCAACATGCAAATGTGAAATGAAAGTCACTCGAATGATACTTGTGTTCTTCGCTTAGGAATATCATTGGTAACGCTCGCGCGAGAAGCTGCCTCATCTTTCTCTCTCTCTCTCACTCTTTCTTTCGTTTTTTTTTTTTTTTTTTTTATTCTTTTCGTCCACCTTATCTATTTTCTCACAAATAAGGCGAGAAAGAAAAGCGCGCGTGCGTGACGGAGAGGGGAGAGAGAGAGAGAGAGAGAGAGAGAGAGAGAGAGTCGGAAACCAGGCAGCGCCTTATCTACCGAGAAGATAAGTCTCCGAACAAAGAACTTACCTACCACCGCGCAAAGGACAATGACAGAGATAACGCAGTGTCGCATTATAAGGCAAAACAAAATAACGCCTCCTCGTAAAGTCAGCGATTATCGAAATTATTTATGGGCTCGCGTTTCAATACCCGGTGGCCGACGCGCACGCGCCTCAAAACTAACGCGCGAGATAATCCGGGCAATGTCGTCGTGGGGAATTTAATTGCGCCGAGGTCCGGGGAACGGACGTAAAATGAAAAGCATTCGAAATGAGAAGCGAGCTGACTCGTACGTCCGCACTCCCTTCTTCCGCTCCTCGTTGAAGGGCTAATAACTGGCTTTGGTAATCGAGCGCGTCGTCCCGGCTGAGTGTGGAGATGTGGCCCCGGGGCTCACGGCCTCCCGCACGGGGAAAGGGAGAGAGGGTGGGGAGGGAAAGCCTTCGACGTGGGAGTTCCGCGCGCGATATTTCGTTCGCCTAATTGGCGGATTTTTATAGCGCGCGCCCGCTCTTTCTTCCCATACGTTATTTACGATTTGGTAGTTTAGCTGGGATATTGATTGCCTGGGCTCGCGCGAGCGCGTAGAACTCAATTAAGCGAAGATGTAGTACGTGTTTAACGAATCGCGCGCACGTGCGCGCGACCTTCTTTTTCGTCGAGCGCGCCGACGTCGTTTTGCTTAATTTTTTTGCTCACCCTCTTCGTTTTTCCTTTCATTGGTCCATCGTGAAATCGCTCTGCGCCGGCTCATCGAATTGTACAATGTGCGTCGGGTGAGGCCCCTCGGCTTTTTTTTTCTTTTTGCTTTTTTCTTTCGTTTATTTTTTATTTTTTTATTTATTTTTGTTTTTTTTTTTTTTTTTAACGAGGAGCGGCGTTAAAGTAATAAACGCGAGGGAGATAAACGTCGGCTACGTGTGAGTAAACAAATTTAATTATTCGAAGCCGGCGATTTCTCGCGTGCGAATATGCCCTCGAGTATTATATAAATAAAGGCCCCCGCCCAGATGGGACTCGAACGATCGTCGTTACAGCGAACGCATTTTCGATAATACGCAGCACTCGAGTATTAGAGAGATCGAGAAAGGCGTTGAGAAAGAGGTCGGTAAATAAACGGCTGAATTCAATATGCTCGACTATTCGGTTGATAAATTACTATTGATTTAGTTCTTCCCGAGGTCCATTGCGTAATTGTTCGATGATAAAGCACTTTGTGCTCGCGAGGGACAATGCTGCCGGTCAAGCGCGAGAATGACTCGGGGGATACTGACATGCTTTCTCCACTACATCGAAGCCATTCATAGCCAAAGTAGCGGAGACTCGCGATTATCAATTTTTTGCGATTTACAGTAAAGCGAGAAGATAAAGAGACAGATATATATATATATATATATATATATATATATATATATAGAGAGAGAGAGAGAGAGAGAGAGAGAGAGAGAGAGAGAGAGAGAGAGACGAGGATTGGACCAAGTCGTGGCGTGGCGTTAACGATAAATTAGTCGATTGACATATGCATTCGATCGATCGCTGTCAGGATGATAGAAATTGGAAATTATCGCTAGTGGCGAGGAGATCCTTCATATATCGACATTCTATTGTGCGTTAAATAACATTGGCCGTCAATACGAGGGACGACCTACTCGCTTATAAGGACCATCTGCCTCTCTCACTCTCGCGCACGTAATTTCGCACGCGACTTCTTGGCTTCGATAGTGCACGGGGTAACGCATGAGGGGCCCGAAGCCGAGGAGAATTAGTCTAGAGCAAAGACGGAAGCGACCACTAAATCGATCTATTTTGTAACTCTAATCACGCGGTAGCACTCGCCTCTTCGCACGATGGTCCTTAATACTTTGAAATTTTTACTTGTTAAACAACAGCCACATTTCCCGGACTCGACGAGCACGCGAAAATAGCTACCGATCGACGAGTTTTCGCCTTTCTCTCTCTCTCTCTCTCTCTCTCTCTCTCTCGTATCTTTCCAGGGCTTTAGACGAACGCGTGGAATTACGTGAAACCACTTCTCTAAAAGCAATGGGCATTTAATGCGTCAAGCAATGTGGGTGAACGGCACGTGGCACCTACGGCTTATTAAAGAAATTATTTCCATTCTACGTTGAAGCTAACTACGAAGCTAAATATACGACCTCTCTTGCCCATTACCTATATTAATGTTAACATTAGTAAAAACTTTCTTCTAAAGAATTGTCAGAATCGTATGTATTGCTTGGGCAGTTGGACCGTAGTCAAAATCACATTTCCAACCATCGCTGATACTTTGTTGCTAATGTGACATTAAAAATATAGGCCTCTCCTCCTCGCTCCTCTCTCCCGCTGACCGCCGATCTTTCACCATTAACAGTGTCACTATTGACGGGCGACAAAGCGTGCGACACTTTATTTCACCTGCCTTATATTACGTGAAAATACGCATTGCGACGCATCGGGGCGTTAAGAAAGGTAAAAATTTCGTACACCTCGTTTGAAAAAGGCTAACTGTTAAAATCAGGGTACGTGACTAACCGGTAGTTTACCAAAAAGTCTCCCGCGGCTACGTCCGTCGACTTGGCAGCAGCAGTAACTCGCAAGAGGACCAGCTCGTGGCATAACAAGGCAAGCCCCCCCCCCCCACCCCACCAACTCTCTTCCCGTCACGTCGCTCCCCTCGCGTCCCATGTTCCAGCACCGTTCAGCGTCAGCCGACGACTACTCTCACTGTAGAGCAGAAGCCAAAGTGCTATAGGGAGACTGTCGAGTGCGAATACAGTCTTTGAGTTTCGATAGTAGTAGCAGTGTAAGTAACAGTAGTAGTAGTAGTAGTAGTAGTAGTAGTAGTAGTAGTGGTAGTGGTAGTAGTAGCAGTGATAGTTGTAATGGTAGTGCCGGCTCAGGCAGTGGCAGTGGCAACGCTAGTGCTAGCTAGAGCCCTCCTAGTGCCGTTGTAGTAGCGATTGGCGCGAGACGAGAAAACGAGCCCCTCGCTTTCATTCGCTCTCTCTCTCTCTCTCTCTCGCTCTCTCTCTCTCTCTCTCTCGCGCGCTCCCAACTTCGTAAAATAATAAAGAAAGCGAGACGTTCGGGACTTTTCGTGGACGCTCGGGTGGCAGCGTGTCTCGGGCGCATGCGCCCGAGAGGGCCGGCACGCGGCGCTGCTCGACCTCGGCGCGGCTCACCGCAGCAGTGTGGAACGACTAGTCCGCCGATGGCGGCCACGGCACAACCGTTTCGGGTTCCCGCGAGCGAACTCCTCTTGCCGGTGCTTCCTCGGTAGCCTCCTCTCTGCCTCGTTGTCTAACCTCTTGTCTCGTCCCTCGTCGTCGTAGAGCCTCGGACTGGCAAAAGGACCGGAGACCAGGATGCGCGTGCCAATACCGGGTGAGTCGCTGTTCCCCCGTTAACGTGCCAACGTGCCATAGTCGTCGTCGTCGTCGTCGTCGTCGTCGTCGTCGTCGTCGTCGTCGTCGTCGTCGTCGTCGTCGTCGTCGTCGTCGTCGTCGTCGTCGTCGTCGTCGTCGTCGTCGTCGTCGTCGTCGTCGTCGTCGTCGTCGTCGTCGTCGTCGTCGTCGTCGTCGTCGTCGTTACCTTCATCGCAAACTTAGTCACTACCGCCGCAGCTCTTCGTGCTGATGATGCTGACCTTGGCCGTGCCCGCCATGTCCAGATTCATCGCGTGGACGGCGCTGGTCGCCTGCCTCCTGGCACCCGCCGCCGGCTTCTTCAACCTCTTCCTCAGTCAGGCGGAGGTCCGCAAGCTTATGGGTGAGTAATCAGTTTCTTGTTTACTTTGATCGTTGCACCGACTTTACCGACACTATCCATCCAACGACCTTTGCCACGGACGTATCATCAGCAATAGCAGCAGCACGAAACAACACGAGGACGACAGTGTCTTGTCGCCAGGCATTCAAAACAATATGACAAAAACAAAGGTTCTTTGGTTTAATTGCGTTTTCTTTACGTACCCGACCGTAGCCATGCACAACGAGTCCAATGTTTTTCTTAGTTATAATCTTGGTACATCTCTCTCTCGTGCTGCTGCTGTTGCTGCTGCTGTTGCTGCTGCTGCTGCTGCTGCTGCTGCTGCTGCTGCTGTAGGCTTCTCTAACCGAACGATTAACGACTTCGCATTAGTACTGGGAAATGCACACAAACAAGCGTGCATTTATGTTTGACCAGCAGTTCCTTTGATATTTAAATGAGATTTGGACGTACGTCAAATGAAGGGAGGTAGCGATTACTCATTAGGAAGATGCCCATTTAATAATCGAGCTTTATTATCATTTAATCTTTGATGTCAAAGTTTAGTAGATTTTTGTCATTAGAACATTATCAATTTTCCATTCGCTATTCAATTTCCTAGTATCGATGCACAAAACTTTAGTGTAGCACGCACAATTGATTGTTTACTCTTTCACTAAATGATACGAGAAGAAGTGGAGTGACGGACAGCTGCATTAATGCCACCGTGTTGTTTAATGACAGGGCAATAACCAAAAACAAAAGACAAAAGACAAAAGACAAAAGACAAAAAACAAAAAACAAAAAACAAAAAGCCAAAAACAAAAAACAATGAACAAATGGATAAGAGAGGAAAAACAAGAAACAAGAAAGATGAAACAAAAAACATGTGTGATGCGAGTCGTACACAGAAGCGCGTTGGCCTGGCGTGAAACACTCGGGCTAGAAGAAGTAGGGAGAATTCCATAAAGCAGCGTCGTTAAAGAGCGAGGCGGCAATTAAGTAGCGGATTTTAAGTAACGTAATTCGAGTAGCAGCACCGCAACATCGCGCTACGCGAAGTTGAAATGTCGCGACAGCTGCCCCTCGAGCGCTCCGATTGTAAGTTGCCGCCATTGGGCGCGAATTTTCTCGTTAATCCACCCGCGAGTAGAAGCCGGTAAAAGTACGCGTAAATGGCCGAGCGAGAATCCGTCGGGTCGTCCGAGGTTAACCGCGGCAGGCTGTAATCGACGACTCCTTCGTCCCTTCTTCGACGATATAACGTTAAAATCCTCGGTCATTGTTATTCGCCGGGCACAATCGGCTGCGCGAAAACGCTCCTCGGAAAACTGAATTAACGGCCTCTCGTTTATCCACAGGACTATCGTTCACGTCCAGCAATTAGCTATTAAAGTTAGCTCGCAAGCTACCCTGGACGGGATTTTATTATTATTATTAATCTGGCAGATAATCAATTAAGGCACGTGTCCTTGAGGAGCTTAACGAATTTTTTGCTCCGTTACTCCGTTGCAACGTTCACTTTACAACGTTAAATCGAGCGTCTAAAGTTAGATGAACATACGTAATCAACGGCGCGCTATTCTTCAATGACTACGTGCCGTAGCTTTGTAAATAGAAACTTTAAATGCGCTCATCTTAATTTCCGTGGGCGTTTGGTTTCAACCAGAAATTTGTCCAGGACGAGCTCTCCTCGTAGAAACGTGGAAACTGTTCTCAAATCGCGTCGATTGCATGCTTCGTCGCTTAAAAGGCTCACTTTTTCTTTTTCTTCACTCGCGCTCTATTTAAAGCTCATAATCGCCGATGATTTTTATATTTGCAAATAGGCAGGGATATAGCGTTGGTCGGGAAAAAGAAATTTGCCTGATCCGCAATCGAGTGCTACGTGTTAAATGATAAATTTTACGCCAAAGTACCATTGCCCAACTGTTTATCTTTAACAACGGCCGAGCTCAAGCGTAAATTATTCAAAATTGTATTTTAGCCTCTCAAGAGAATAATATATATATATATATATATATATATATATGTATGTATATGTATATGTATGCATGTGCACCTATAAAGTAAAGGCTGCGTTTAATGACGGCCTGCATAATGATTTTCTCGGAAAGAGTAAAGACCTTTATCGTCAAGTACTCTGTTGTTGTCCCTTATAAAATTTCTAGCCGCGAGTGTGCATTCGCGCGGAGCCCTCGCACTATTACTTCTACAAACAGATTTATTAACAAAAAGACGAAATAATAAAAGAGATTAATAATATGAAAGTACGCGCATTCTGGATTAAATCCGTCTCGATCCGGCTTGTGTGCGACAAAGCCGCACTGTTATTGTCAAGTCGAATCAAACTGTGATGGGGATTGGCGTTTAGGGAGAGCGGTCAGGGGTTGATTGGGTCGGGGCCGGGGCCGGGGCCGGGGCCGGGGCCGGGGCCGGGGCCGGGGCCGGGGGGGGGGAGGGACTGGAGACTATTTATTCTAATACTTTGTTTTTATTTTTATTATCAATATGACTTTAGCCGTGAAAAATACATATGTCATATTTTTTTTGGGGAGTGGGCGTTTGCTTTTGAAAATTCGATGAAGCCTTTGCCAGTAAATCTTTCCCCCTGGCTCCTTCGAAGCGCGCGAAATTCGCATTTAAATAAAATAACGCCCGAATGAATTATTAGCAGTGAATCACATCGGCCGAGCCTTACTTATTTCGCTATTTATACATATATCTGGGTGTATAGCGGATGGGGGATGGGGGTTGGGGGAGGTTACAGTCGCTCATTGTTTACTCGGCTCCTCGGTACCGGGCAAAACGTGGCACCGGCGCGGCTCGCACTTCTACGCGACATCGCCATCTTCTGCGATGATTTACTATTTTGTCGCGAGGTATCGAAGCCATTAGCCCTAGGCAAACTCACGACAGACATCATTATTTACGATACCCGTGATGGCGCACGCGCACACCCGTCGCGCTTATTATACAATTAAGCATGGCTCGCGTCCAGATTTTTCCTCGCTTAGCGCCCGCCGTCTTTGACAAGCGATACATAAGCGTTGGAAGGACAAGGCCAGCCATTGCGTAGGACGTAGGGTTTATCCCGGACGTCCGGCTCTCGTTGACCCCGTGTAAATGCACCGTTGATCAAGCGGCTTATGGGGTTGGACGGCTTATGGGGATGGGGATTTGGAGGGGGGGGGGTGGATACGTATGAGGGATGTGAACGCGGAAGGAGCTACGAGGGTAAAAAATTTCCCGGGACCCTCGAGGGCAGCGAGGATTTTGTATCTCGAGGATTATATTGCTCTTGGTATTACGGATAAACGTGGCCAAAGATCTTGTGCAAAGGAGATGGCGCGATAATAAAAATGCCGCTCTGTAAAATGTGTTAAGAGTGCCTTTGAACATTATTTTACGCGTATTGGGTAAGAGTACTTGTTGTTGGAATTGTAATCGTTCGCGACGGCCAATTAATTTTCAATAATCGCGTCTCGCATTTGTTTCTTTCCCGTTGCTCCCGTCTTTTCTCACTTTGACGCCCAAGTAATCCCGTTTAAATTATCAGCCATATTGCTCGCGAGCCAAGTGCTTCAGTCGCTCGGTCACTTCTTTAATCCTTTGATTTTATTGTAATTTGCGGCGGAGCGCTTAAGACTTTTGCAGATAACAATTGCGGATTTAATGAAAAGGTGCTCGTGATGGTTGGCGCCTTAAAATTGTTAATCCCTCGACGAATGTTCGGTCTCTTATTTAAATTTAAATTGTAGTTAAGATGCCTCGCCTAATGCCACGTTTAATCCACAGAATAGATACAGCCTTTTGTAAAAATTAAAATCGTTAGGGCATTAGTTTTAGTGGCGAGGGAGGGGCTGTACGAAGTGGAAGAAAGTCCTTCGATATTTAAATATTCTTTTGTTGAAAATTATGTACACTTTCATGTACATTTTTTTTTTTTTTTTTTTTAATGTTTATACGACAATTCGCTTACGAATACTTTGTCGATGCGGTTAGCGAGATAATATCGGCGTACTCTCGATAAAAAGTATGACAAAGCTGATAAAATTATCGTTTCTAACCATGCCGTAAGCCAATAAATATTTTTCTTATAATTAATAATAATGAATTAAATACTTTTATCGTGGTGCATTATTAAATTACAGGTAAAAAGCCGTGTGTTATAAAGATCATTTTAATGAATCAATATTTCGCAGCTAATAGCCCGATAAGAATTTAATGTGCCATTATTATAAGGAATTATAAATTGTAATTACCGATTATTTATGGCTATTAGTACGTGATAGGGTGAAATAAAAGCTTTGCAATAAATGTTTATTAAATTCGATAGAAATAAGCATAACTGTAGCTGCATATACGCCTTTTAAATATTCTGATTGGATATTAGAGGAAATTTGCATTAATTTTGCGTAGGTCCTAATGAATCATCATCAATTACTTTCCCCTCCCCTCTCCATATACGTTTTAAATTCTTGAAGAAATTTGCAAACGACGGTTCTACGACGGTTGCACAGACAATTGAAACGTACGAATATGACGATTAAAGTGAACCTCCCAAGAGTGGCTGCGAGTCGATTGACACTCGTTTGCCCCAGTAGCGTATCGCCTCCACATGCGAGGATCGCAGGCGAAAAAACTTGGAACCATTAAAGCCTCCTCTCGCTTGTATTTCGGGAGTCGGTTGGACTCTTTAATTCGATTAATTGCAAATTCGCGTGACCTAGTCGTGTCTGTGCTCGTCGGCACGGGAATGAAACACAGAGACTCCGTGCAGTCTCCGTCCCAGTCGTCCTCTCCGTCGCTGAGTAAGAGGATTAAAAGACGAATCGCGCCCCCAAGCGGATTTTGTAAATCCGTCTCCATTGGGCCGTGTTGTTTGACTTTCTTCAAGCCATGGAGTGAAATATCTCGAGCGAGATATTGGCTTTGTCACGTTGACGAGACATCTCGTCGACTACGTAATAATATCGTCGATGCGACGTCTATTGTGTGTTTCGTGGGAGGGATGGGGA